TGCTCATCTCCGTCTGTTTTGTAGGCAGCGGTTCAACTATTGCCGTTTTGCTACTATTGTTGTCGTTGCTTTTTTTAGTATTCTTGTTATTACCCATGGGGCCAGGTCAGTGGGAGGAAAATTATCGTTTTGAATCCTTCAGGTGAAGGATTATTACCATTATCGTTGTTATGTAATGATTATTATTGTTATTATTATTATTGTTATTATTATTATTATTATTATTATTATCATCATTATCATTATCATTATCATTATCATTATCATTATTATTGGTATTAGTTTGTATTGAAATGTTCATATTGATATTGTCAGTTATCATTATCACCGTTGCCAATACTTTCTTATGATTCTTTTTGCCTGCCAAATTTCGTGACCGAAGTCAGTGGGTTCAGCTACCTTTCTTTCGGAGGTCAGACACACGCCACGACACGCAAGAAATCGTAATACCTGTATGCAAATTGAAGAAAACATGGATACTGCAATGTGCTGCTCTCGTCACGTTTTTTGTCGTTTGTTTGTTTTCTTTGCTAATGTGGTTTGTTGTTGTTAGTGTTGTATTTGTTCATCATCTGTGGTCTTGAATATTAGTACTGTGGTGATGTCGGGAAAAAAAACATGCTTAGCTTATTGTTGACATTGATATTAGTATTGCAATTTGTTTTTATCTATCATTATTATTCAGTGATATATATTTGTTTCAATTATTGAATTCCTGAAGACATGAAGTTCATGAGGTATCAAGAATAAAGAGGGAGTGATGACAGAAAACGTTCTTTTTTCGTATTCTTTTTTCGTATAGATCAGTGTGAAGTAATTTTATCCGAAAGGTCGGATCGGGTCGAGAGAGGTGGACACATGGAAGGCGAAGAAAGTTACGACCGCGGGCCAAGGGGGTCAGATTTACACGTCAGAAGGGACTTAACTTTGGCCGAGACGGGAAAGTTCTCGAGTGGAGACAATTCCGCGCCTCGCCCAAGTGAGATGAGTGTGTGCGGGGATGTTTATGTATGCCTGTGTCTGTTTGCGTTTTTTTTTTTTTTTTTTTTGTGTGTGTGTGTGTACACGTTCGTATTTTCGTTTGGTTGCTTATGTGATTTATGCAGGTATTCTTGATGCATATATGTGTTTGTATACGTTAAAGGCTTGTGTTTGTCACTTTTTTAATGCTGTGTGTACATCATCCCCCGCCCTGCGAGAGGCGACCGTGATGAACACAGCGCCAGGTGCGCCGACAACGGCGCGATGTGTGATGTTGGTTGTTGATGTTTTTTTTTACTGCGAAGTAATTGGAGATTTTCTAGATTTTATGGCCTCTCACAACGCTTATTTATTTTCTTGATTGAGATTTTGTTAAATGCGTTTTCGGAAACCGCATTTAGAACCCCCGTCGATATCTAGAAAATCACCCGCAAGATTAGGTAATACGGGATAGTGCAGCTGCGCCAGGTGGAACCGCCAGCGCCAGAGGGGGCCAGGAAAGAAGGGGGGCGAGGAGAGGTGGGGGGAGGAGGAGGAGTCAGGTGGCCGAGTGAACACACTGAGCACGCCATGTTGTGGTGTGTGCTCGAGCGCCGTACAAGATCCTGGAACCGGTTTGGAGGAGCTGAGGGGAGACGAGGGGCGCTGCGCTGGCTCCGAGGGTTAGGTCTGTGGGAGGTTGTTTGATTTCACGACGCAGGCCTTGTTTTCATCGTTTTACTTCCTCTGTTTGTCTGTCTGTCTGCCTCCCCCCCGCTCTGCCTCAATGTTCGCCTCTCCCTCTCCTTCTTTCTATTTTTGCCTCTCCCCTCTCTATGTATCTCGCTACCCTCTCTCTCTTTCACTCCTCCTTATTTCTTGTTTTCATCACGCCATTCTTTCTCGTGCCGTTTTTTTTTTTTTCGTCTTAATGTGTCAGATTTTTTTTAATCTGCTACAGATATTCCTTTTTTTCAAATTTTCATTTTTTTTTTCTTTCTCCCCGTCGCCATTAGCCTCACGAAGAAATAAACAGTGGGAAATATTTGCCTTGCTCTACCGTTCGTTTGGCTTGGCTGCAGCGCCGAGTGTATTCAGTACCGCGCCAAGTATTGCGTGGTTCCTCCGCTACGCGCACCGGGTCATGTCAGGTGCACGCCATTTTTCTGGGGTTTCATCTTCTGTGCTCTCGTCTCTTCTCATCTCTTAGTTTTTTCTCTCTTTCTCTCTCTATATAACTATCTATCTATCTATCTATATCTAAATCTCGTATCTCTATCTCCATCTCTCTTCTCGTATCTATCTCTGCCTTCTTCCCCCCTTTCTCCCTCCTTTCCCCCTCCTCTTTTCTTCTTCTTTTCCTCCTTTTTTCCCTCCCTCCCTCTTCTTCGCTTTCTTCTTCCTCTCCTTCCTCTCCCTTTCTTCCTCCCTCCCTCCTTCCCTCCCCGCCCCCATTTCTCCCACTGTGTCCGTCCCTCCCGCCCCTATCCCTCTTCGTTCCGTCTCTAACCGAAAAAGGTTTTCCATTGTTGAACACTGGATTGTCCATTAAAATTACTTATCTGGTAAAACATATGTATGTGTGTAGCATTTTAATCTGATGCTCAATATATCACTAGTGATTGTTTACACGCACTAACCCTTTGCACCTTATAAGCCTCGCTAATTCCCCCCGTTTTCCTCCCTTTTGCAGGTAAGTGTCTCATCCCGTGATTGCTGCGCGTTCCCCCACGTGGGTAAGTACGGAGGCCCTGCACGCATTCTTCACGTATCTGGTCTTTTCGGTCTTCGGGAACGGGCGTGCGGGCGCGGTCGGGCGTGGCGGCGGTCGGCGTCACGCAGCGGGCTCGAGGGAGAATATGCGGGTCTGTTCACGTGGTGGCGCTGGTGTTGGTGGTTTGGGTTGGGTGGATGGATGGATGAGGGAGAAGGAGAGGGATAGGGAGGAGGGGAGAAGGAGAGGGAGGGAGGGAGGAGGGGAGAAGGAGAAGGAGGGAGGAGGAGGAGAAGGGAGAGGGAGGGAGGGAGGAGGGAGAAGGAGAGGGAGGGAGAGGGGAGGGGAGAAGGAGAGGGAGGGAGGAGAGGGAGAAGGAGAAGGAGAGAGAGGGAGAGGGGAGAAGGAGAGGGAGGGAGGGAGAAAGAAGAAAAGGAGGGAGGGAGGGAAAGAGAGAGAGAGAGAGAAAGAGAAGAGAAAGAGAAGAGAAGTGAGAGTGAGTCATTACTTGAATGCATTAATCAGCAGGTCCACTTGAATGGAGTCAAGGGACAGGTTAGCTATTTAGGTGTTTGGTTCTCTGAGAGCCAGCATTTTAGAACTGGTTGATTTGCGCTTTGTGTTTGTCATTGGGTGAGGTTTGTCTTTTTCTTGTCAATCCCCGTTGGTCATAGTAGGCGATATACCGGTTTGCGTCCTTGCTGTCTTGTTTTTTCTCTATCTATCTATCTATCTACCTATCTATATCTATCACTCTCTCTCTCTCTCTCTCTCTCTCTTCTCTCTCTCTCCTCTCTCTCTCTCTCTCTCTCTCTCTCTCTCTCTCTCTCTCTCTCTCTCTCTCCTCCCTCCCCCTCCCCCTCCCCCCCCCCCGCTTTGCTCTATTCTCGCAGGTGTGCCGCAGAGATAGCAGGGGCGTCTCCTGCAAACGTCGCGGAGGAGAGGTCGGCTGCGTCGTGCAAGGCCAGTGCGTAGAGTGCGTATGTGCGGCAGGGCCATCGCGCGTGTCCTGTGGATGAGTCGGTGGAAGGGGAAAAAGGTTTTCGGTGTCTTACGTGGCCTGTCCCGGCGCCGCGACGATCGGAGGGGGGGGGGACGACGACGAATAGATTCATGATCTCGGCGAAATCTGCCAACACGCCCCCCTCCCCTCCCCTCCCTCACGTAGCGATATCCCCGCTCATGCAATTCACGAGGGCGCGAGAGGGGGGAGGGGGGGGGGAGGAGGGGGTGTTCTACGTGGCTGTGTTGTCAAGTTGCGTGTTCATGGCCGCGCGGAGGGCGTGCGAGTTGAACTTCAAACAGGGTAGGTGATTGAGCATTGCAAGCGGCGTTGGTGGCGAGGGGGCGTCAAGAACAGTACTTCCAGATCTTTCTCTCTGCCTCGGTCTCTCGCTGCTTGCCCCCCCCCCCTTTCTCTCTGCTATATATGTATATGTATATCTATATGCGTGTGTGTGTGTGTGTATATATATATAATATATGTATATATGTTATATATATTATACATATATATGTGTGTGTGTGTGAGTATGTGTATATATGTATATATGTTATGTGTGTGTGTATATATATATATTATATATATATATATATATATATATATATATATATATATATAATATGCTCATACACGACACACGCACACGCGCACACACAACACACACACACACACACACACACACCACACACACCACACACACACACACACACACATGTATATATGTGTGTGTGTGTGAGTATGTGTGTATACATATGTATATATGTATATATGTATATATGTATATATGTATATATATATATATATATATATATATATATATATAATAAATATATAATTTCTCCTTATCGTTCCTCCTTCTCCCCCTTCTTTCCTGCCCTCCTTCCCTCCCTCTCTTCCTTCTTTCTTCTTCCCCCCCTCACTCTCTCTCACACACGCACACGCACACACACACACACACCACACACACACACACCACACCACACACACACACACACACACACACACACACACACACACACACACACACACCACACACACACACACACACACACACACACACACACACACACACACACACACAGCTCTATCGACGACGCTTGAGATCCGAGGCGAGGCTGAAGGGCTGATCCCGACAGGCAGGGTTCGGGGCCAGGTCGGGGGCGGGCATCGGGCGCGAACGGCGTCGGTTGCGGTCGCGCCCGCCTGGTCCTCCGGGGCTCGTATCACCACATGATGCAGCAGCTGGCACGAGCGTGGATCCTGTGCCCCCGCCCCCCCTGCCTGCCAGTAAGCGCCTCCCTGCCGTCGCGTAAGCAGTGGGTACGGCGTGCCTGGCCTGCCTTCCCTCAGTGCGGGGCTTTTTGTCGTGGCTGCGTGTCGCTGTCAGGAGTCGTCGCAGGATGTGAGTGGCGCGAGCCGGCGCGGCGGAACTGGCGGAGGCGGAGTGGGCGGCAGTGTCAGGATGTCGGTGGTTATGTGCTAGTGCCTGATGCCCGGACCTCGAGTTGTGGTGCCTGCCCTCACTCGCGGTGCCAACACCAGCGCGCGCTCACCTCGTCAGTGCTCGTGACGCCACGCGGCGTTTGCGTTTGGCGAGGCGTCCTTGAGCTGCCCGAAAGACGGGGCCGTGTGTCGCCAAGAGATTCAGTAGCCTCGCCGAGCCTTCCTTTCGGATTCATTTGTATGAAAGCGGAAAAGATAGTGCGTGCGGTTGCGAAAGGTGCGATCGGCCCTGCATATCGATATCGTCGCGAATCCTCCGCTGAATAGCAGTGCGAGCACGGATTCGGCGCGGCCAGCAGGGCTTGTGATTAATGAATCAGAAAGTGTATTTCCGAGGTGAAGGGCAATACAGAAGTACTGTTCTATTTTAAGTCAGTTGTTTGGGATTAACGCAAGCGGCCGCGCTTTGTCACAGAGCGCATGCAAGTGGAGGAGCAGAGTGCAGGTCGTGGCCGGGTGCTCCCAGAAGTGTCACTTCGCAGCGCAAGCCTCCTCGCCCTCCGCGGCAGCCCCAGCACGCGCCTAAGCTGCTCCTCGGTCGAGTGCATCACGCTCTCGCGCGCCCCGCTGGTCATGCTTTCTCTGTGAACTTGGTAACCTCGGACGCTCCCACGCTGGTCCAGAAGAGCAGGGAGGGAGGGGATTGGCGTCCCGGACGGGTTGGGGGAACCTGCACGCTGCCACGGGGGATGTGCGTTCGGCCGTTCGTTCGCCTGTGCTCTCGCCCGCCAGCCATATCCTGAACTGACGCTGATCCTGAGCGGGCGTTGGTGCGAGTGCGCGTTCTCGTGTGATCGTGGCTTCTGGCGGCCGAACGAAACGTGCCTCGGAAAGGGAAAGTCGTGACGTGACTGCGTCTGTACGTAAGCCACCCCTCCTCCTTAAAAATGTGAACGTAAAGACGCGGCCGAGACCTTTGTGACGCGCGGAGAACTGGGTCTCCTGCAACCCCCTCCTCCCTGCTCCTCTCGCCCCACCCCCCCCCACTCCCGGCTTCCTCGCCCCTCCTCCGCGCTCCCCGCGCCTCTCCCCCCAAACATACCCTTGAGACGAACTGCTACTCCCCATCCCACGCTCTCTCGTACATGTTATTCGCGTCTTTTTGTTGACCCGGAGGAGAGTTTTATTTGTTTAGGTGTTGAAGTGTGCGTGTGCGGCGGGTGCGGCCGGGAAGGGCCTGTGTGGAGGTGCCCCGCTCGCCGAGTTTGTTCAGATCTTGGTCGCGAGGAAGGGGTTTTGCCCCGAGTGACGGGGTAAGGAGGGGTGAGGGAAGGGAGTCTGGCTGGGTGCCCGGGGAGACCTAGGGGTGCCAGCGCCGGCTGTGTGCCCATCCCCCCTCTTGGTGTCTCAGTCACAGCCCCAGCAGCAGCAACAGCAGCACAAGGAGCGCCTCGCCAGCACCATCAGCCCGCCCCGGCAGTCCCAGCCGGTGGTGAGAGGGGCGCGCCCGTGTGCTAGGCGCTCTCTCTCTTGCACGGCTATCATGTGTGTTGTTGGTGATTATAGTCTGCTTGCTCGCGCCCCCGCAGCCCCCGATGCCCAGCGGGACTTTCCCCTGTCGTGCTGCTAGTGAGAGCCGCCTTCGGACGCGGGAGTGAAACTGGAGTGGGACTTGTGCAGTGAGCGAGGTTGTGGTGGTGCAAGTGGGCGGCGCTGCAGCAAGCGGCTTGAGTCGCAGCTCCGTTTTGCTGCGCGATGTCGGGCTGTGCCATGGGGGGGCAGGAGGGGTCAGAGGTGCTCCCCTGGTGGAGTCCCGGGATCGTGCTGGTCCCGAACCGCGGCCGCCCCCACAACGCGCGCGAACCGCTCCGCGAGCCCTACGACAATGCACAGACAAGGCGCGAACGGCAAGAGCTGCGCCGCAGACGCACTCACAAGGATCGCAAGAGAAGAGCTCTCGTGCAAAGCAGTCCCGAGGCGCCGGGGAGCGGGAGGTGGCTGCCGGAGTGGTTGGTCGATGCCGTGGCGACCGTGTGGAGGTGGACGGTGAGCCTGGGGATGGTGATGCTGGTGAGGGCAATAGGCGCAATTTGGAAAAGTTTGGGAGGTGCAGAGAACTTGTGGGCGGAGAGGGTGAGTTGGAGCAGCGAGCGTGACACCAATGAGTCAGATTCTGGTGAGGGGCTCAGTGTGTCTGCCACCCGACCCTCGTCCGGGCCACACGCTCCACCCTGCGGCACACCACCGCCGCCGCCGCCACCCCCGCCACACCTGCCCGACCAGCGACACCTCAGCCACCAAGACGGCCTCCTCCCTGCCACCCACACTGACGATACACTTGCCACTGCAGGCTCCCGAGAGCCACGTCGTGTGCCTCGCTCCTCCATGATCCATCCTACACGCGACCCTCAATCGCCAACGCCTCCTCCTTCCTTCCCCTCTGGCCCTCCGAGTGTCGTCCCACGTGCTAGCCCGCCTCCTGGTGCCTCCCTCAGTGATAGTCGGTCGACGGGTGCCACATGCCTTACACAATCTCCGGGTGCCACTGAACGCCCTCTGGTTGTCACTGAACTTGCACACTCTCCGCCGTGCCGCAGTGAACCTGCTGGACAGGAAGATGACAGGTTGCAAAGTGAGAATGTGCAGTCAGCAGTTCCGCGTGCAACTTCCTGGATCAGCAAGGCAAGGGAAGGGACCAGCATGGACTCAGCGGGACAGGACACGGGTGTCCAAGTTCTGGCGGCCATGCGAGGCTTCAGCTCTGTGCAGGAAGAGATGATGCGTGCCATCAGAGACGCCAAGGAAACGTCCCTCGCCCTCATCGAAGACCGGCGCGATAGTGTGTCCTCTGTGACTAGTAGTGGTTCCCTTGGCTCCCTCGGCTCTCTCGACGCCTACCTGTCGGCGGCCGGTTTAGAGTCGAACGTGAGTTCGTCGGTGAACTCTGCTCGTGGCAGTCCGCTGCCCGACCATGACGTACCCTCAGTGATCGAAGCGGTGCCTCCCGCGGCCACCGCCCCCCATCCCCGCGATTACGACCAGCGGCTGGAGGAGGACATCGAGGCCTCCCTGGCGCTGGTGGACCACCACTCGCCGTCTGACACAGACACCGAAATAGAAGATCTCTCTAAGGGCGACGAGGGGGTAAATGTAAGGGGCAACCTCGTGCTGGAGATTCATCGGCGCCAGTGGTCCCCAGACGCCACCTTCCCGAAGGACTTGACGCCCCCTGTCAGGACTCCTGAGGATATTCTCCCGCCCCCTGAACTCCCCCTTAACCCCGCCGACCCCAGGGTACAGTCCGAGAGTCAGGAAGTGATCCGAGCGATAGTGGACTTAGCAAGGGACTCGACCCAGGAGGCAGTGTGTAGCGAACCCCCTCCTCTGTCTGCTGAGGGTGCAGCGTCTCGACCTGAGGAGGTACAGACGTCAGTGTTGTGTCCAGGTGTCCTAACAGAAACGTCACAAAATAGTGAATCTAAAGCAACTGAAAGTGTCCTTGAAGGTCATATTCCTTATGATGATAAGAAATTTGAAAAGAGAAATGTTGAGGGAAGCTTTTGTGACGATCCTATAATTCCCCCGAGCTGTTTCGATGTAAAATTGAGCGAAGTCTTTCCAAGAGGTGAAGAAGCAGAGTGTAATAGGAGTGCTGGCGATCAACATACGGCAACACCGCCAGAGCAAGATGATATTCCCCACAGGAGGTCACCCGATAGCGGTCCAGGGAGCACACTCCTCGTCCTGTCCGACACTGCGTGCGCCGCGCCCACGCGCACGTGGAGCCCCGGCCAGGCCTCCTCTAGGCCGTGTGTGACGGAAGGAAAGGTATGTGACGAGCCCGAGACAGTAACAACAGCAACTGCAACAATAAGAACCTCAGGCGCGGGAGAGCAGGCAGCTGCACCGCATGTGGAGGAAAGGGTAAGGGAAGGAGCGGGAGCAGGTCCCCCCCTCCCGCGCCCTCTTCCCCTCCCCCTGCCGCTTCCCCACGCACACACTCACGCACCGCCATTGCCACTGCCTCCATTACGACATCACGCACTTGCACCGCGAGAAACCAAATCAATGATTCTGACAAATGATAATGAAGAGGACGACGACGATGACGACGACCTGGCGGACCTGATGGTGCCCAAGAGCGACCCCAGCCCGCCGAAGCTAGACATCACCAGCCTGAGGAACGAGATCAGCGCCATTAGGGCTGAGATCCTCACCCGAAAGGGCTCGCACTCCCACGTCAAGGAGGAGTCGGAGGAGCGCTGCTTCGTCTCCTCCTGCGACGACATCACCAACCTGCGCGATGAAATCCTCTCGCTCAAGCAGGACTTCTACTCCCTGCTCAGCGAGAACACGGCCAGCCCCAAAAGCGGCTCCAAGAAGCAGAAGAAGGCGCACAAACAGCACCAGCACCTCAGGGGGCCTATGCTCAAGCACCAGCTCAAGTCCATCAGCATCGACAACGTGGACGACATCAGGAAGCAGTCCGTCAGGGACCGCAAGGGTGGCTTCGCGCCCTTTGGGTCCGAGGCGAAGGGCGAGGTCGACGCTGTGAGGGGCCTCAGCAGGTCCAGCATAAGTGTCGTACAGGACCTGAAGGAGGAGCAGGAGGGCAGCAGCAGTAGCGTTAGTCGCCCCTCCAGCGAGGTCTACTACAGTACCCAGATCAGCACAGAGTCCTATGAGTCTGCTGCCAGCGAACTGCCTGGGTCGAGGACTTCCCCGCCGTACAAGGCCCTGGAGGAGGACGACTCGAAGGAAGGCTCGGTGAGGGCGTCTAGCGTGACGAGAAGACCGACTCGGGTGAAGGAGGAGGAGGAGGAGGACGACGACGACGCCAAGAAGAGTCCGTTAGAGTGCAGTGCGAGCAAGGCGGAGATCCTTTCCGATGAGAATAATGAGGAAGAGGAGGAGGAGGAGGAGGAGGGTGACACAGATGATGGAGATAGCGACACCACCGAAGATGAATGTCAACAGATTTTGAAAAATAGTCGCACGACGAGTGTCGAGAGGGTTTTATACGGCATCGATCCGCCGCCATATAAGATCCGAAGGTGAGTACCGGTTTCTGCAACACGCTGGATGTGTTCGGTCTTTTATTCTCGCTCCTTATTCCAACCTATAATCCGTACGTTGTGTGTCTGTGGGAGTTTGCGCAAGGACCGGCGGTAGAGTGAATGTAATGCATCGTTGTGAAAGTTCCAAGGTTACGCAACAATAACGCTAGTGGTATTTTTGTGAAAATTTCTAAAATTATCTTCATGCCAGGGAGTGTTTGTTTGGAGGGAGGAGGGGGAGGGAAGTATCCAAATGGGGTAGGTGGTGAGAGGGGGGGGGGTGGAATGAAGAAGGCCGTGGTGCAGGGCGCAGTAGTGGTAACCATGAAGAAGAAGAGGAGGAGGAGGAGAAGGAGAAGAAGAAGGAGAAAGAGGAGGAAGATGAAAGATGAGGAGGAGGAGCGGCAGGGCGTAGGGAGGAGGGTAGTGTGGCGGCGGTGCCTCTCGCTGAATTATTACCGCCCTCACCCAGACCACCGCCACCCGCTCCTCCCTCACGCTGTCTCACTCATGGTCTTCCCGGCGGCCTCACGCTTCCTCATACACGGTCCTTCTAGGTCTTTTCTTCGCTCATGGTCCTCACGGCCGCCCCTCCCATGGTTCTGCAAGGTCCTCCGCCTTCCTTGCCTCGCCTGCAACGAGCTGTTTTTTCAAGCCGTTCGCTTCGGGTTCTCTGCGTTCTGCAAGGTTCTTCGCGTGTTCTGGCCTCGCGTTCTCCTCTTTTCTGGCCTGCTCTTCGTGCGTCGCAATTTTTCTTAGCTGTTTGCTCTACAGCCATCTCTCTCATGTCTATTTCTCCTCCAGGATTGGTTTTGTTTTTTTGTTACGGTCGTTTGTATTGCCGTTTTGATCATTTTTCATCGCCCTTTGCTGGTTCCTGCTGCACTCCTTGTTGTTATCGCGTATTGTTATCACGGGGGCGCCCTTTTCCTCGTCTTCTCTTTAAATTGTCTCCGTTTTGCTTGTTATCATGGACTTGGCACCTTTCCCCTTTTCGTGAAAGATGGCGGTTTGTCCTTGGCGTCTCCTTACCATCCCTTCTTCTTTTCTTGCCCTCGGCTCTCTCTCTCTCTCTCTCTCTCTCTCTCTCTCTCTCTCTCTCTCTCTCTCTCCTCTCTCTCTCTCTCTCTCTCTCTCTCCTCTCTCTCTCTCTCTCTCTCTCTCCTCTCTCTCTCTCTCTCCTTTCTCTCTCCTCTCTCTCTCTCTCTCTCTCTCTCTCTCTCCTCTCTCTCTCTCTCTCTCTCTCTCTCTCTCTCTCCTCTCTCTCTCTCTCCTCCTCTCTCTCTCTCTCTCCCTCTCTCTCTCTCTCTCTCTCTCCCTCTCTCTCTCTCTCTTCTCTCTCCTCTCTCTCTCTTCTCTCCTTCCTCTCTCTCTCTCTCTCCCTTCCTCTCTCTCTCTCTCTCCTCTCTCTCTCTCTCTCTCTCTCTCTCTCTCTCTCTCTCTCTCTCTCTCTCTCTCTCTCTCTCTCCTCTCTCTCTCTCTCTCCTCTCTTCTCTCTCTCTCTCTCTCTCTCTCTCTCTCTCTCTCTCTCTCTCTCCTCTCTCTCTTCTCTCTCTCTCTCTCTCTCCTCTCTCTCTCTCTCTCTCTCTCCTCTCTCTCTTCTCTCTCTCTCTCTCTCTCTCTCCTCTCCCCTCTCTCTCTCTCCTCTCTCCCTTCCTTCCTCTCTCTTCTCCCTCTCTTCTCTCTCTCCCTTCCTCTCTCTCTCTCTCTCTCTCTCTCTCTCTCTCTCTCTCTCTCTCTCTCTCTCTCTCTCTCTCTCTCTCTCTCTCTCTCTCTCTCTCTCTCTCTCTCTCTCTCTTCCTCTCTCCTCTCTTCCTCTCTTCTCTCCCTCTTCTCTCCCTCTCCCTCTCCCCTCTTCCCCTCTCCCCCCTCTCTCTCTCCCTCCTCCCTCCTCCTTTATTCCTTCTCACCACAAACGTTGCAACACCACCTTCACAGCAACATCACCACACTCACCATTAACCTCACCACGCCCCATATCGCTCCCTCCCAACGGCTCCTCGCCCTCAGCGCCTATACAACCCAGGCACACATTCACCACAACCCCTTCCACGATAACAAGACCTTCGGCAATAACAAAAACACCTGGATGGTCCACGTGACAACAACAATGGCAGCCCGCAGACCGGTTTCATGACTCCAAGGAAGGGTGGGGAGGGAGGAGAGGGAGGAAGAAGGAGAAGGGAAGAAAAGAAGGGTGGGGGGTAGAGAAGATAGACAGAAAGGGAGACAGGTAAGGAGAGAGAGAGAGAATGAGTGAGTGAGTGAGTGACAGAGACAGAGACAGAGAAGGGGAGGGGAGAGGGGTGATGGATACACACCACACACACACACATGCTGTCTATGATGTATCATGGGTGTGTATATGATACACATGTGTGGTGATGGCAGTGGTGGAGACGCAGACCCGGTCGTGTGGGAGGAGGACAAGAAATTTCTGGGTAACACGTAGCCCGACCGGTTAGACCCAAGACCTTCAGACCACCACGCTCGCCGCTCGGTCTTCCTCGAGCATGAACACAAACGTCACCACCAGCAGTCACCACACTTGCTGGTCTTCACTGCCGTCAGGCTGGTTAGCGACGTCATTCTCATTCTCATCATCATTATCATCTCCGTCGTTTTCCTTCACCTTTAACCTCTCTTCTCACGCTCTTCACCTCATTGCCCTCCTAATGAGAATAACAAAAGGAATTCCGATGTATTACGGTGGAGCTAATAGTTAACGGGGTCCCTGGCTGGAGAAATGGCACAAGGTTGCGAAATGAGAGAAGCAAAGAAGGGCGTCCCCGGCAGAATAAGAGTGAAGGTTATCTTACTTTAAAGGTAATTGAATATTCTTGTGCCCTATCTTGTCTACTCAGGTTTTCGTAGAGGCTCTGGCAGATTGGTATCTTGTTTGTGTTTGTGTGTACCCGCGTGCTTGTTTTATAATGTCTGTTGTTTACATTTTTTTCCCTTCGGTGTTTATCAGCGTTACCACACGCCTTCGAGGATTTTTTTTTTTTTTTTGGTTGATTTATCCTCAGGACTGGAGTTTGTCTTCATTTTTTCCCCTTTTGTTTACGGGCCGCGTCGCATCACAACGTTCCGAGGATCGGCGCCGTGGGACATCGCGTCGTATGTCATTGTTGCTACACGTCACACCGCACTCACGGGCCGGAGTATTCGCCGCCGCCCATCCATTGTTCGGCCGGACAGAGACGGGCAGTCCCTCACGCCAGCGCGATTGGGAGCGCTGACGACCCGAGACTCTCGAGTGCTATTTGCATCCCTCGCGTGAGGCTTCGTGCTTGACGGCCTGGCACGCTTGGACGTCCGAATCCGCCGGTCGTCATCTGCGCTGAGCGTTCATTTGGGTTCTGATTCGCGTGACCAGATGACTTTTTTTTTTTGATGCTCTGTTCGATGGGGGGGGGAGGGGGGATTTTGAAATATATGTATGTTTTGTTGGTTTTCGGTTTCATTGCCTTTCCAGGGGTTGGAGGAGCACATGTGGAGGGAATCGCATGGGAGGAGGTAGGGCGTCGGGCGTGTGGTTGGCGGACTAAGGAAGAATAGGAAGTCAGTGTATGTGGGAGCCTCGAGTGCAGTTAGGAGGGGGGAAGCTAGAGAGGGGAGGGGAGGGGGAGGAGGAGAAGGAGAGAGGGAGGGGAGGGATTGAGGAGAAGGAGGGGGAGAGGGAAGGAGGAGAGGGGGAGGGGAGGAGAGAGGGAGGAGGGATTGAGGGGGAGAAGGAGGGAGGGATTGAGGGGGAAAGGAGGGAGGATTGAGGGGGAGAAGGAGGGAGGGATTGAGGGGGAGGAGGAGGGAGGGATTGAGGGGGAGAAGGAGGGAGGGATTGAGGGGGAGAAGGAGGGAGGGATTGAGGGGGAGGAAGAGGGAGGGATTGAGGGGAGAAGAGGGAGGGATTGAGGGGAAGAAGGAGGGAGGGATTGAGGGGGAAGGAGGGGGGATTGAAGGGGAGGAGAGAGAGGGGGGGGAGGGGAAGGAGAGAGAGAGAGAGAGAGAGAGCAGAAGCGATATAGGGCGAGGATGGGTGGTAGAGAGGGGAAGGAAGGGAAGGCGGGAAGGGGGAGGGACGGAAGGAAGGAGACGGGGGAGGGAGGGCGGGCCACCACCACCTGAGGAATCGATACTCCCGAAACTCTCGGTTAACGCCACACAATTTCATGAGCGGCCGGGTCTGGCGGAGACGAGAGAGCTCTCCCTCGCCCTCCCCTGCGCCTCTCCCTCGCTCTCCTCATCCCCCAGAAGGCTTTTCCTCCTCTCTCTCCCCTCTCTTCTTGCGTGTTTTAATTTTGCCCCTCCGCGTAGCCCTTTTCGTTTAGATGCACCCCTGTTTTCGCTTTTCTCTCTCTTCTTTCTCTGTTCCCCGTTGCCACTCTTCCCTCTCTGCTGCCCTCTCCTCCCCTCTCTTCCCCTTTCAGCGTCCTCCGAGCGTTGCCATCTCCTCCCCTTCACTTTCGTCCCCCAGGCCAGACCAACCACGTCACACCAGCGCCTCCGCGGCTCGTGCTTGTGGTCATTTTGCCACCATGCACGCTGGCACGACTTGCGGCCAAAACACACGTACTTGGTCCTTAACTCGCTGCCAACTGCACCTGCTCGCTTAGGTGGTTGGAGGAACCAGTGCCATCCACGCGGCCGGTTCGGTGGCACCAAATCGCTCCTAACTGCCCAACCGCCCGTCTCGCCGATCGCTAATTGCTGCTACGGCGTCGGACGTGCCTGGCGGTGCTTGGATTCGTTTGTTTATTTGTTTATCTGTTTATTTGAAGGGTTGGGTTATGTCAGGAATTCCTGGGTGTGAGTATTTTGTTGTTGTTGTTGCTAAGGCTTTGCTGCTGAGGCATACGCAAGGGCGTCGGCGGTCGTGTTTGCGAGCTGGTAATTGGGGCTTGTTAAACTTCACGCTTTCATGTTCCAGGCATGTTCAGTTCTATTAGTTTTGAGATTGCACGGAGGCATGTTTACCTGTTGACAATAGAAATCTG